TACTCGTCAAGGGGCACTCAATGCACTAATCGTTACTCGGCGAGGTACACGCGCACGCCGGATCGCACGAGCGGCCCCCAGACGGGATGATTGTGTAGTCATTTGGGGAGCGCTAGATTATCCCTCAACCTTGCCTTCTCTCTTATACAGTCCGTTGGCTATCATTACCGTCTTTCACCCAACTGTTGCATAATGTATCATCCGCTGCAATATATCTAAACATTTCCCCATCACCTATGTATGAGGATCCCGTCCCAATTCCCAACTTGTTTCCACGGTACATCCATATAGAGCATCGTTTCCCAAACTGGGGGCTGCCAATCATGCTGTGGACATTATTTCTGGACTGCACCATGTACTTTTTTCCTTGGTTTAGATACCGGTGGTTTATCCAATTAGAAAGGAAAGGGTGTCTTGCTAGAAGTAGAGCTTGACGGGTATTTTATCAGGGGAGCAAGACGAACATGCCCGTGTAATCTTATCACATTCCGGAGCCGACTCATCATTGTATGGCACCGAAACTTCGAACTGAATTGCTCCCAGGTTCACTGACCTTCAATTCTCAAAAAAAATGGGGGGGGGTTCAAAACCAAGAAAGTGGTTTCTATGCTTTCCAAGAAGCAATAGTTTACCCCAAATAAAGATTTGAAATGGAATTCATAGTACATGTATATCCAATTACGGACTTCAAATAATGTTGAGAAAAACATGACTTCAGGAAAAGGTGTATTATTCCACAATACATGTGTAGGCCTTCACATGAAACCTGATTTTCTTTTTTTAATTTAAAAGCCCATTCTATCCATCTGTGAGGGTCCACATGGAGTATAGGGCAGTCTAACTGTGTATGCATGTAGTCGAATTCTAGCTGACCGAGACGCCGTACTGTCGAACGGTTAGCGCCGTCATAGACGAATTGTAACGAGACTATTGTGCACGTTGTTCAAGTTTCTTAATACAAAATACTGAAATTTGTCTTCATGCCAAGCTATTCTGAGCGCCCTTTCGTTTGCCTGCGATTTGAGTGGCCTCAGTATCACTGGATGGAGAAGTAGAAAAGTACAGAGTTCTGCATACACTGAAACGGCATAGGAAAAATCCCTTGTGATGGAACAATTAAACGTACTTTCTTATTGGAGTAATTCTTCCTTGCCTTGCCTTCAAGTCTTTCTCGTTTTCACACCGTTTACAATGTGAACCAAAGTTTCTTCTTCACAGACATAATGCTCAAAAGGTACTGCGTACCATAACGTTGATGACGTGTCACATGTCGTTCACTCAGCTGAGTTTGTGTGCCAATGCTTGTTAAATTCCGCTGGTTGAACCACGGAGGAAGGAACATGGCTGAACCTACCTTGTGAAACTTTCGCCTGTGATGGAGAATATTCAGTGCATATCAGCGTGACACTGACTGGTGAACATTTTCGCCAACACCGTAATAAAGTGTTTTCCTTCTGTATGTATGTGGACAATTTTTGCAAAGGCATCTTTCCAACAGGTCCAATCTGGAGTTGTTTGATAAGGAACGTGGAATTTTTTTCTTTCGCGGAAGAACAGGCTGGCATAACTCTGTCGAAATCCTACACCAGCAAACCTCAAAGGGGGTAAAACGGGCCTGGTGTGACATGGCCCTATCGCTATCTACCGGGAGACAATAAAACCTGGCCGTGACACGCATGGTTATTGGTGGGTTGGCTCGACGTCACCTTTCTGTCCCGCTTGGCGGTGGTTGGGTTTTAAATCATGCTGCATGCAAGGGATTTGTTCTGGAGCTTGTAAATTGAGTTAACACATGTCTCTGTGTTACATGTCAATGTTAAATAAGACATAGACGCACGGCGGATTGACTCGATATGGTCTGTTCCCTGGACGACAGAGGTCTAGAATCCCGAGCGTCTTAAGAAACTACTGTGCACTTATATACTACTCTGTAAGCTTAAAATATACTTCATCAAAAAGAAATTGAAAAATGGTAGACTTGCAAAGTCACTATTATGTGACGCCAATGACTTCGTATTTGTCGATATAGCTTTTCTGCAACAACAAATCCAAAATTCAATTAAGATGTTAATGACTGATTAACTTCCAGTGCATTAGTTTGAGAGAAACGACAGCTTTTCAGGACCGAACATGATTAACTAGTAACAAGAAAAACAATCATTTCTATAGTCTTTTTTGCGAAAGACAAAACTGGCCGGTCTTATTACTTCGTCGGGAATATTAAACAACGTTGATAACAATGGTTTTCTACTATCAGCAAGTCAATGGGGGACGCATCTATTACATGTGATTGTCACTGATTTGCTGCAAAACCAAGACCTCGAATTTTTGAGCACTCTCCATGATAAACTCTCCCATGCATGCAGACAAACAGAGTGTGTCCTATAGACGGTAAGAAATGAGAAGGGTGATCGATACGCATGCACAGCCTATTTGTAGTGAACCAAAAACAACTAGAGGCCAAACCTTACAAAATTATACAATCAACAAAATAACCTCAAATCTGATGAATGAACAATTACATGATACAAAACATAATCATTTGGAACAAACGGTTGCGGGACTCCCAAAGCAAGTCCCCTCTCGCAAATGACGTTTTCGATCAGGGCTTTCGGAAAAAGTGTCCCATTTACAGCTTAACAGTTCAAATGCACAGTGTGATGAACTCAATCTTCTCGTATGTTGAGCACAAAGGAGCAATATTCCTAAGGACATCCCTGTACGGTCTGTCCCCAGTGAGTCTCCTGGTTACTCGGCACCATCTCCCTACGCAATTTTCCCCCACTCTTTTGTTGTTCACGGCGCGCCCGATTCATGCCGTCTCTCCTCGGCGTATTTCCCGGCTGTTTGGGCTCTGTCATTGTCACCGATAAAAAAATAAAAAAATAAAAAAACTGTACACAGAGAATATCAACCACTTCCAACCTAGCATGAGCCTCGTCTAGCTCCGTCCTCATTCATCAACATTTTTGTCTTCCCGCCAATAAATGCTATCAGAGCATCGTTTTCTTGAAACCGTTTTTGTCAGGCTACTCACCCAGCCAACCCCCAGGTTCGGAGATGGCTGTACAAGATAGTGCCATCGATGCAGAATAAGAGATAAGTAGCGCCGATAATAATCGAAGAGGAGAACAGCTCGAGTCACTTGCGCGCTGCCTTCTTCATCTCTCTGTTCACCCCCTCCTGTTAAAACCAAAAACACATGCACGGAAATACAAATCGCACCGGCCAGAGTGTGCAATCAAATTTACACTAGCTGATGAGCTTGCCCGACAAATTCGCGGCAGATCTTGCCGAGCGTTTCGCGGCCAAGCGCTCCCCTATTTGGATTCCATTATTTCGGTGTTAGAATCTTAGCTGTATTTGACCAGGACATGCTTAATGTGGGACGGCACACAAAGCGTCCCGAGTCCGTCAGGTCCAAAACGTGACTTGTCGATCTGAAAGTGGTGTGATGACGAGCCCACGTGACCAAGCAATCGGTCCCTCGCCCGACACTTACAACGAAGGGCCCTTTCTCCCTGAGTGTCTCTGTGTGTATATATACTCCAAAACATCCTCCCTTTGCCCAAGCAGTGGGCAAAACATTCCATAACACTCGTCGCATCTGACAACAGCACCCCATACAGCACCCCCCCCAAAAAAAGAAAATTTGGTGCAATGCCTTTTCGTCAATGCTAAATAGGACCGCATAGCTGCATTATTATTAATTGGGTAAAACAGTTGAATGAGGAAATAAATACTAAAAAAGGACGCACAAAACTATTTGTTTAGGCAAAGCAACTAGAACTAGGGTGGAATTAAAGAAACAGCAAGCGTTTCTCCTTTTGGATTCTAAATGCAGTTGAGGATGATTTGCTTTGCGACATGAATAATTAAACATCATCTCTTCCTCTTAGCATTCTGCTAAGCAAGTCAGCCGTGTTGGACAGGCTTTGTTTGGGTATGTCAAATTATCCCCCCCCCATCTTTCTGTCCCCGGATATGCTCACAGGTACCCACAGCATCCACGGCAGTGCTCAGTAGAGGCAGGGGTTAACAAACATAACAATAAACATCAAAAATGGCGAAATTTCAAGGGAAAACAGGACCACTGGACAAATCACATGAGAGCTGCAACGCGCAACACCTTGTGGCTTTTATTCGTGTATTATTATAACTGAGCTTATAGTCAAGAGCAATAAATTGGTCCCATGAAAGAAAGTAAAGAATCACAATTCGTAACACGTTGAAAAAATATGCAAATTGATGACCGAGATGAAATGAACGATAATTGACCTCAATTTCCGATGAAAAAAAAAACTTGGGAGCTATAGGCCTTCATACAGACTTGGCAGCGTATGGTACTGAAGACATTGATGTAACACACTGGCTTGAATTGTTGAGACTTGCTCGTTCTATTGTGACGCGAATCCACGCTGACCAAAATAATGTGCTTCATTTCAGGTGTTACGGTAATGAAGGAACACCGCGAAGCAGCCAAGCGCCTTTTAAGACTCTCCATTTTCTACGCATTATAATTCCCTCTGTGTGACTTTATGTACAGGGGCAAAAGCGCCGTCTCGAAGTGCACCATGTGTTCTGTCTGTCACTTTGTGTGGCGGGATCACAAATGTTTATAATGGTGCGCATTATTTGCAAGGTAAAATGTTTGCATGTGAACTATATTTTGGAATTGATGTTTCCCTCTAAATTATAATGCGTCGCTTTATAATGCCTTTTGAAGACATTTTCAAGAGCTTTAATAGTTTGTTTAGCAATTACAAGAATGTTTCACTTTTTGATATTTTCCCCTCTTCTGAAGACGTCAACTCACAGTGACTGGCCTGTGAAACATTGCAAAAATCCCCCCCCAATGTCCTGTAATCTCATACATTCTCTCAGCTCTGGAATAAGTAGATGCGAGAAAGTGCGAGACATGGGACCCTTTCACCCCATTGACGTAAAAAAAATCACCACGTCCACACAAGGTATTTACAATACGACAGACACAACATTCATGATTTCTCAGATTTAGCCTCCAACTCGTTTTATTTCACGTTCTTTATTAACACCAAGAAGTCCATCTTGATCTGATTTATAGCTTTCCCGCCCGTACAGCCTTCTGCCGTGTGTTCATTTTGACATATCAGAATTACACAAACCAGACATTATACTCAGCCTCGTTCTCTGTCAATACAAAGCACTAAGAAATAAATTACACTGTATATAAAGTGTCCGCAACACCAGCCTGGGGAGCGAAGAAACCGATGGTTAAATTACACAGGCTTTAATTCATGAACAACAAAAAAGGCTTGAACTGAACGCAAGGGGCCGGGGAAGAGGTCAGGAGAAAACTCAACGCCTGTTTCTTCTCAGCCGAGTGCACATTTGTGTAGTCATGGTGCGAACTGAATCAAACCACAAAATCTACCACTCTTAATTTAGAAATGTTCTTTTCAGTGATCTAACACTAAAAATAAATGTCATCATGAACTTAACCACCCATCTTTTAAAAAAAAAAAACCTGTTTTAAACCTGCGCACCGTCCCATCATCTTTCTACACTCCGAGCGTCCCTCCCTGATTTGGAGAACAAAGACACGAGCTGATGTCATCATGCCTCATATTAAATTCATTGACCCGTGACTTACACGAATGTGGGGGGGGGGTTCTTCGGTTACTAATATTCATACCATGCAGTTAAACTTGCAAACAGTCTGTATTTTCTTGTAATTTACGCCCCGCAAAGCAGGGCACGTAAAAACACCTACAATTCGTGCAATGCCGGTGATCTTTATAACGATCAACTTCCTCATCATGCAGTTTTAAAAAGTCTATAAATTTACATACGTACTCCCCCAAGACTATACATAAATGATAATGATGATCCTGTGCCATGAACTGACTGTTTAAGGAATGAGTGCTTGACCTGTATGCGAACACTATACAGGAGAATGCATAAATAAATAACTATCTGGATTTCTTACTAATTCACTGTCACAACTAATGAACAGAAAACCAAAGTAGTTTCCAAAATCAGGAATCAGTGCAGCATTAAAGGTGTACACCGAGAGGACTAAGAAAACTCGCGAGGAAAATGGCAACAGTCAGTGCTTCAACTGTCGTTTGGGTCGAAGCGTGTTCTTGAAAAGATCTGTAATCTGTTTGCTTTCCTCACTCGAAAATTACGATAATGTCTCCTCCAAAGGTGTTTTTTTTGGAGGCGAAATTATCAAACCTAATTCCAAAACAACAGTGTCAAACAGATGTTCGCTTTTCTCAATCACGGTTCAGCGTTTATTCCTGCATGTGGAAACGATCTACTTCTCTTGTTCGTATTCCTATCTTCAAAACATTCTTGCTCGTCATATTACTTATACACCACAGGGGAATAGCCTGCGTGAAATATGTTCTTGATTTGTCTTCGAATCACAGTCGCATCACATACCGACAAAGATTTTCTTCTTTATAATTTCGACGGACCATGCTTTTACCAATGCTTCAATCCTAGCCATGTCGAGAATTCCTACGGACTTTACTGACAGGTAGTCTTGGATAGCAACCCAAAGGTGAGAAAGAAGTCTACATGTTCGAAGTGCAGTATTGTTACTACATCGATCCTGGTATCTGCATTGTCGATGGTTGGCAAAAACTTAACCGTTACGTCACATCAGTTATCTTACAGAGTGGCTCCGATAGTTAAAAATCTAGGAATGGTGAAATGGCAAGTCGTGTTGTTTTCTATTTAAAAACACGTTTTAATGTGTAAGCATGGCAAACCTGCTCACAAGATTAATCTCTGTTCAAGGACTCATTCTCAAAAAAGTTCGCACTTTCTGGATGAAGCAGCGAATGCAAAAGTTCGCCACATTCTGGATAATGTGCCGAAGACAACTCGGATAATCATTTGGTTTCTTTTTCTGTTCTCCTATTTTCTTATAATCTCACCGACGCAACGATGTATAATATCGAAAGCTTACGAAGTTGGTTGCGGTATTCATGAAAATTAGCTCAGCTAAACGCAAAGGCTGTGTAATACACGCACATTTTCCTAGTCACGATCTGCTATTATCACTTATGACTGTATGTCCACGCCAAGTAGACAAGTGTCATAAAACCCTAGACAAATTCAGCGATGTGATTGTCTTCAAAAAGAAAACAATAAAGGTAATCCTAGTTTCGGTTTAAAAGACGCTTGCAAACAAAAGTGCTGAACAAACCAAACAATCGTGCAGTCGACCAGATCAATTTCGTGTTATTCGTAGCCTATAACTTTCTCCAACAAATCAAATATTAAAATGTCAACTATAATTATGTTCCCCCATGGATTGTGTTAACGTGATTATAAATCATTTCCAGAGCAAAATGAGGGTGAGTATAATGAGAGGGGCGAAGTGTCTGATACAATTCTGATTCGATGCAATTTTCCGCACCGTCGCACGGCCTTTATGCCGCCTGGTGGTGGCGAAACGGCGGGCACGTGTCTCGCGCGGTAGTCTGGTACTTCGGCCTTTTTCTTGTCGCGGGCGAATGGAAGAACGAACGCGCGCACGCAGACCCCAAGTCGGTCGCATTTAAATGTTTTCAACTTGGCCTGCGTGTCGCATCAATCAAAACGATTTTCACTGACCGCCCCCAACACCTCCAAACAAGAGAGATATCGGAGCCAACCTGAAATGGCAGTTACACCAAAATAATAACTACCAGCGCTCTGGGGAGATCGAACGCAACAAACGCGGTCAGATCAGCAGTAAAGGAACAACGATCCGACTCTCTTTTAAGTCCGGTGTTGCTGACAAATAAAGTAGGTGTCAATCTGTTCATATCTTTCGATCAGATTTGATGAGGCGTAAATAAGAGGTTTTTGCACAAAAGCCAAGCAAATGAAGCGCACGAGCCTAAACACCATGCTTGTTTTTTCCTTGGTGCTGGCAAATCTTCACCTGCAGCGGTTTTTCTAAGGATACCAACGAAACACGATACAACGACCCCGCCATTTGCCCATTGCGCGCTAGATGAAAGGATGAACAGTACATGTACATTCTCCGATTTGCGTGCTCTTTTTGTTCACTAAAAGAAAAAAAAAAGAGATTTATACCGCCCTTGGTTCTTTTTTTTAACAATACAGAATGTTACTAAACGTTGTATTACAGTGGGTCTGTAATAAAACCATCGCAACTTTTTATATCATATTTCCTTTCTTTTGTTCAAACGGACTGTGTTTTAACTGTTGTAATTTCCATTCCCCTGCATGATTATATTAAGGACACAAGTGCGAAACTGTGTAATTTGCTAAAAACAGGCCAAAAGATGATACAGCTTTTAACTACCATTGCCTATGTGTGGTGCAGGAAAAACTGGGGTCCTTCAATCCTTTAAGCCGAACCAGGGCATTGCCAGAAATTTTCCCCCGAAACTAAGCACTCGATAGTCAAGCTGGAGAAAAGCTCAGTGTCATCACTAGAAAAAAATCAGTGCATCATTTGAAATGCCTCTCTCTTTCTGAAAACGAAATCCACTTGAGAAAACTACTGACTGCAACAGCCACACGTGACACATGAAAGGAGCTTTGAGAATAAAATTCCGTGATAAAGTTCACTTGGAAAAAGTTTGCATGAGTGACAGTTGCCTCGAAGCCAAAGACTCGCATGGGGGTGGGGTATACAGGGCCAGGTCCTTTCCTGACCGGGCAACTTGCATGCGGGCACACGCTGACCTGGAAAAGGAGATTGGAGGGCACGTGCGACCAATCAGGACCCCCAAAAGGGAGTGACCGCGATTAAAATAAACTCCTAAAGCCTTCATCTGAAAAAAAGGGAACCCCCCAAAAATTGGGCCATCGTCCTGCGATCAACAATGTCCAAAGAAGGGCACCGTAATTGTGCTATTGTTGGACGCCCGTGGCGCCTAGAGATCTTTGTTGTCAGAGGCACGAACCAGGAATTCGCTTTTTATGCACGCGGGCCGAGGCACGGTCAGTGGGAGCGGGCAGCTCAAGTGCAGGCACTTGTACGGGCTCCGCTGACACCGCGAGTTGAACTTGCAATGGGGGGGGGGGAAATGTTGTGTCTATATCCGCTAATAATCATAATTTTTCCACGGCGTTTTCGCCTGTCGAAGACTTAAGGTTTGAACGACGCATTCCCGATGCATATGAGACAGAACATGGAAACATCTACACATTCTTTCGATTTTTATTTTTTTTCTTTTAAATTTCCATTCCGCGTGCGCAGACCGTGTATTTTGGACAAACTAGGCGAATTTATGTTAACTGAATTAAGTGAAAAAAAGAAAAGATAATTTGCATGACTACTGTCCTTTCAAGACTTGCTAAAATAACATTCCAGAAGGAAGCTGTCTTATTCATTGGCATAAGAAATTGTGGATTTAGAAACTGTAAGTTGAGAGTGTGCATATTTTAAAGGATAAACTGCCCAAATGCTTTCATTTTCTAGTAGGCCTATCATCATGACATTTGTACTGAAGCTAGAATTCGAACAAGCTCTGAAAAATGGCCGCGCTGTTACTCTGTTTGTAACAAAACATATGTGAAATAGCAAAACGCTCATAAACCGCGCACCACTTCCGATCACTGACTTAACCAGGCCATTTTCCTCCATAAATTAGCACCGCTGCTCATCGCCACAGAAGAATGATCGATGATTAAAATGAAAAACGGAAATTACAGGGAGAAAATTGAAAAAAATTCCCAACTTAGTGTGGGTATCGGTTTAGCGTCTGCCAGACAGCGACGCGTGAATATTGTGTTGAGACTGTTATGCATGGAGATGGCTAAATATAATCCATCATTTATGAGACAAACAAAACCTGTCCACTAAACATACAACGATTCCCAGAGGTCGCTGTAAAAAAAGAAACAGGAAGCTCTGATATTTGCAGTAGTTTGCTGGGTTTTTCCTTGTTTTCTCTTTTTTTTTCCTCGCGGGTTACGCGACCAAGAGCGAAGCCGACAGGATAGGACCCTATAAACACGACAAAAGGGGGGGGATTTTACATGCAAGCCCCCTGCCAGCTCTCAGGACAAATCCCCTTCAACGAGAACACTCGTCTGACAAAATGTAAAACAACATGGCAATGATGCATGTCATTCCAACATGTATGGGCTGCAAAGCTGGGTCGTTTGGCGGGAGAGATAAGGAACCATGTTGAGCCGGATGTGCATGGAGGTATGTTAAAATATTAAAAGTTAAATGGCATAATTACCAAGAAAGGGCGCATTACCTGAAAATATATACAGTCTCTCGAGAATAATTCGACTGTCAGACTTTGTTTTAAAAAGATCTATACGGCACAGAATGTAAAGCACAGCCGCAAGCTAGTTTTGGATGATTTTGAGGGCACTGACACGAAAGATAAGCCACGAAGGATTCGTAACTGTGGTTTTCACAGTAATTTTGCAAATGAAACGGTGAAAGGAAAACTGTAATTTATTTACGCGCGTCTATTTGTTTGAAGTCTGGACCAGGGAGTGAAGTGGAAAATCCCGAACAATCCGCTATGGAAATTAGCACGTAGTTTTGTTGCTGTTGGAATAACAGCAGACAATGAAACTGCAAGGCGATGATTCCAGACTCGCTATCCGGAATCGACCAAATGCAAAGCTCAGTTGTTGTTTTTTTTTTCCATGAACGAACTGACCTCCACACAGGTGACGTCTCAACACTCCGATTTCACCCAAAATGCTTAGTTTTGATATCCGTTAGGGCCATCTTGAAACCTCACGATCACGGTCTCGGTTTATCGGCCGAAGAATACTTGTTTGAAATCTACGTGGTTTCATGAAAATTGAAACAGAAACCATTCGTTGGGGTTGCTTCGAAGTCAGATCAAAACGGAGGAGGGAACAAGGCCGTTTAGGGCTTTGAGTCAGCTCAAACTTGCTCGGAGGCACGGTACATCCAACATTGATATGCAGACACACACGGCTAGCCTCCCCAAAATGTCCCCCTCTATGCAGTTATTAAATTGATTTGTGCTTTCAAAGACAACACAGTATTGATATGGCGATGATGTGACGTGAAAACCAACACCACCTCCATTCTTTGGGCTGGGGCGTCAGCCTTTGAACGGCGCGCGTTTGACCCCCCACTTCACCTAATTCACGCTGGCTGAACGACGGAACAAGAGCCAGCGGACGAATACCGGGTGAAATCTAAGTAATTGGAAGGGTGTACTCTGCCATTCAGGCCAATAATCAGCCCCTCTCTGTGGGCGTGGGATGATGTCAAAGGCTCTGTTGTGTAGCCAGAGTAGTTGGGAAAGTCTCGGAGGAATCACGATTGCCAAGGTGTAATCATCATGACCATCCACGGTGATGGCTTGATTGCTGCTTTTTTGGCAAGAGCCCATTTTCGTCGTCGTCTTGAATCTTGACTCCTCCTGCTTGTGTTTTCTCGTATTCTTCGGCCATGATACAATCCTTTGTAATGATCGGAGGAGTAAGACAGAAAATCCCCATCTAAGGGCTGGTGCTTGGGTACTGACAGACGGGACTCTACAATTCCTATGATATCAGCCGATTGGTTGCACAGGGGAAAAAACAAAGCCAGTCGATCGGTTCATCATGGCGATACGGTAAGGACCCGGTATGGATACACGCAGGGGAATAATGCGCAGCGCCATCTTCAAAAGAAAATACATGTATAGTCTTCGTTTATACACACCGTTTAATCGGCACTGAAGATAAAAATATACGATATGGGTGAAGTAAAACGTAACCATGTGAAACAGGCCGGAGATTCTAACCGGGTTTTCTTACGAGGATAATCAAGCGTTTTCGGTTAGTGAGTATTTTTTTTTAAAAGAGATGGATTTCTCACTAAAAACAGCCAGCGGCTGACATGCGTGTTCCTCAGAGGTACGATGAAGTTAGTGACGTTTATAAATACCCTCCCCTTGGACGCCCCGATGGCCAGTACTTTGTCCCCCCCAGTATCTCTCCAGTGATGGTCGCAGCCCGGTCTCTGCCTGTTTCCCGCCCTCCCTCCCCCGTTATTTCGCCCCGTTACTCCCAACTGTTCTTTTCGCCGCGCGCATTGTTAGGGCGCGGACCTGCGGGAGGATTTAAGTTGATAGATTGGGTATCCATGGTAAAACACTTGCAGGCTTTGCGGGCAACATGTCACCGGTGCCTTCACGAAAAAAAAAAACCCAAGCAATTCCCTCTACGTGTCCTTACTTCCCAGGGTTAGTAGCCTACACCGAATGTGGTCATGTTTTGGCGAGAACTTCACTCACTATACCAGTGTTTTTGTGTTTGTTTGGGGGCCTGTGCGTGCACCGCGATATATTAGCAGCAAAAATATCCATCGCTTCGGATGTTTACCGCGACACGCATAGATCAAAACTCGCCCTTGTTTATCATCAGCACTTTTTTCCCCTCTCCTGTCAGTATCTCATGAAAATTTATCCACCGGAATATCAATGGCAGACGATTTGTTCAAGCCTTTCGGCTATGTTTCCGTCGGCGTGTCCGTCTTCCGTGGACACCTGCGACCCGACGCAGAATACAAACCGTTCCGCCAGCGACAAAGACAGGATCTGCATCATTTGCCATAAATCGGCACTTGTAATATTCTGTCCGAGAAATATCATCTATAGGATGGCTAGGACTGAAGCAAAGACTTTCCCACGCATTCCCCATCAATATTAGCAACATGGCACGAAGCAGCAAAACATAAATAGTCCACCCAAAGCATGTTATAACAGCTGAAAACTTACATCTCCAGAATCAACCATTGTTTATTACAGACGTAACAACTTGAGTGTTTTTTATTGTGGCCCTAAAATGTGGAAGAATCGTGTTCGTAATAAACCATCATCCCTGACAAAGTTGGGTTGGTATTTGCTATTAATGAAATTACATAACTTATCTACCACGGCGTGATTTAATGTTAAAGACCTTGTTTCCCGCAAAAATATATTACACAAAATAACAACGTAGTAAATTAGTAAAGCAATAATGCAAAGATAAAGAGCCGTATGTTGTATGTAAGAGTTGGGTCACAGGCAAGATGGCGTTCACATTCATTCTTCTTTGTATCAAGAAATATAAACCGTATTCAATAGGTTCCATGTAAAAATCATGGAAACGATTACAGTCAACTGGCAAGTGACGAAATAATACTATATATTAATGTCACATCACCCTCTCGAAATGGGACTTACTTTCAACAGCCTCACTGGGAGTTGACAATGTTCTTGGTGGGGGCTGATGGCTCGTTTCTGGGCGCTCGGGCAGGCTCTTTCGCCCTCCATCGCTACGATCCTATATCCACCAGATTGTTGGACATGGGGGCCAACATGGAATTCTGTAGCGAGTTCTGGAGCACGGACTCAGACATGTTGACCTGTGTGAGCCCCGCCACGTCGGAGGCGCCGGGCGGCAGGCTGGTCATGGGCGACATGAGGTTAGCCTTGCCCAACTCGCTCATCATCAGGCTCTGCTGATGATGAGCGTGGTGAGGATGCTGGTGCTGGTGGTGATGGTGGTGATGAACCGAGGAGGCGGCAGACACGCCCATCTCTGTCACGTCGCCCAGGTTCTCCTTGCCGTTCATCACCATGCCGAGGTCCTCTTCGGAGCTGGTGCTGGGCGTTGCTAATTTCCCCTTATTCTCCTGCTCTGCACTCTCCCTGTGTTTAACATTCAACATAAAACAATTGGTGAGAAAACTGATAAAAGACAACAAAAAATGACGTTTTTCCAATAAAGATCAAAACTTGGGATTATTAGCAACAACAAGATGTATTTTGCTTGAAAATTAAGAACTCGGCTGAGGGACTATTTATTGGGCTTTAAGACAAATGTAAACGAGAAAATGTGTTTCTTTTGAGTTTGATGCTAAGATTATAAAAACGAAGAATATTGAACACTTGCAAACTGTAACTTTTCGGGTTTGTGTACACATGCAGAAACGCGGCGGAATGATCAATGATAGGGCCACGTCAGCCGATCTGTTTTTGCACGGGTCGAGCGCCGCTCCGCTACCCGGCTGTTAATCAGCTGTAACTCGCCGTGTTGACATTCAAATACACGCGAAAGGCAAAGAGCCTGCGTCGGAAGGGAAGGGCCAAAATACCGGGAATATGTCTCGAGGTTGAAACAAGACAACCTGAAGAGAGGTGGACACACAAAATTATGTCCAGTTTACAGCCGCGCCGCCTAGCCTGCTCGACACACACCAAACAAACGGGACATGGCCGGATCACGTAGGCAGAGAGAGAAGAGAGAGCTGTCTAAATATTCTGCCGACCTCTGCCGCGTTTGTTTGCCTTCTTGCTGCATAATATTGTCTGACCTAAATACATTTTTATCATGGCGGTTTACGGGAGCAATTCTGAGCTACAGTGCTACTGTATTGGAACAGAAAGTGCTTATAAAAATGGCAACTTGGATTTAGTTGGCAAGACGCAACAGTGTTTCGGATGAGTCAGTCATAGATCACTAAAACCTGACACAACGCCTTCGACAAAGCCGCTGTTTCTAAAAAATTATACCCGAAAATGAAAACGGACAATTGTTTTTGTCTCCGAATATTCTTTCAAAATATATGTGGTACAAACTAATAAGCATGGCCATTCCAGCTAGCCTTACATTGCCTTTTCTTCCCTCTGCTTCTTTTGTCTGCATTTCCCTGGCCCACAATTTACCATATTTTGCCCCTCAGAAGGAAGCCAGCGTAAACGGCCAAAGATCCCGAGGAAAGTGCGGGCGTATCGTGTTACACGGATGGGGCGCTGCACGTGGGACGCGCGGTGTGTGCCGGCCAGATACCCTTGTCAACAACCTTGTGTTGGGCTCATGCCATATTTTCCGATAGCGCACCATTTCAAACTGGCAATGAGCCGAAATAAAATATAACGAGGTTTGCAAAATAGTTGAACAAATAGAAGTAATTGTGATTTTGATGTTACAAGGTAAGAAGTAAACATTTTGGGAAAAAATAAGAAAAGAAACAGCATTTTGTTCACCTTTCTTTTGCTTCAGCCGCTCTGTCCCGCTGCCGTCGATTTTTGAACCAATTACTAACTTGAGTAGTGGTGAGTCCAGTTGCTTCAGCCAGTTCTCTTTTTTCTCTGGGTGAGGGGTAAGGGTTGTGTGAGTACCACTCCCTGAGGACTCCCCTCGACTTCTCCTTGAAGCAATAGCTCGTCTCTTCCCCGTCCCAGATGGTCCGCGGCAGCGGGAACTTTCGTCTTACCCTGTATTTACCGACAGCTCCCAGCGGTCGGCCGCGGAGCTTCTCAGCCTCGATGTAGTGCGCCTTCAGCCACAACGCTTGCAGTTTCGGGTGGTTGTGTGGCGAAAAATTATTGCTTTCCAAGATCTTGTAGAGTTCCCGAAAGTTGCCGCGATGGAAGGCCACGATGGCCTTGGCTTTGAGTACGCTCTCATTCTTGTGCAGGTGTTCGCAGGCCGGCAGCGACCAGAGAAAACGGCCCAGGCGCTCGATGTTACCCGACTGCTGCAGAACCTCGCAGACGCAGGCTACCTGCTCTTGTGTAAACCCAAACGACGGTAACATGGTGGGGGAGCACACCAACAGATGAAGACAACCTCAGAAAAAGTCGGGCAGGTTTTTATTCTCGGTGATTATGCTCACCCTGGTCTGAACGTCCCACTGTACTCGGGAACTGTCGGAATCGACAAGTGCACGGCAACGCTGGCCCGGTACTACGGGAACGCTCTGACTGCTGACAGCACACCGTCGCCGCTTGTGACTGGAAGTTCTCTGGCGAGTCTTTGACACCACTCACTCTGACGGTCACACGCTGAGCCGGAGCCTTTTACTCGCCCTGACTGTGATTGGCTTTCTGCGCGGCTTCGGTCGTTCAGCCATTATGAGGGCGAACAGGAATTAGTTGCCAGGCAACGCTGTCAATCAGTGTAACCCGAAACGGTACTGGGTGTGGACTGACTGTCAGTGCTCTATTGAGGCAGCAACTGAGAGACGTGGCCCCGATGAATCCTGCGGTCCACGTTGCTCAATACATGCGCAGTGGATACCACGCGTATTCCTGTGCACGGCTTGCACCAATGGAGAGCCGGGCAATAAAAATATATACCCCAATGCCAACAACGTGTGGTATCCGGGCCCGAATTATTCTACGTCTTCACTCGGCAGTCACAACAATTCTTGCCAGGTATGTCACCAGCCATAGCACGGCCCGTGTATGAACATTCTTTTTTCTATTTTAAATATATTCATATATTTTGGCACGGTTTGGAATGGGACGCAGAAATGTGCCTATTATTCCACCATGAATCACTGTACAAATATTTGAAGCAAACATTTCACCCCGTTTTGGGTCAGGCTCGATGAAAGGAATGCGAGCGTGGTGTTCCACTTTCCTTTAATTGCATCACTCTTATTACTGATCATTACCCAGCAATCAAAATCGATATTTGAGGTTCACTTTTTTCATTTCTTTTCCTTCCTTTGTACCCCGTCAATATGAATGTCGAGATGTCCTCAACCCATGACCCGGGGGGGGGGGTCTGGTCCCCGCCTCACCACGAGGTATGGCTTTGGATTTTGATTGTTCGCCGAGCGAACTTGCCCTCTCTGTTTGCGATGCAAAGAGACGGCTGCTAAAATTCCCAGTCCAACAACACGTAAGCCTGCAATGGTCTTAATTTTTTGTTTATCCTGTAATTAAATTTTAAGACTTAACAGTAAGCACAGTCGTTAGTTTATATTCCCTGCAAGGCCTACAGTGTACTGTACATGTACTATCAACAGCCCTAAACCATGCCGGGCTTCACGTCCGTCTCTAGCGATAGTCAGAATGGAACGTTCACTCATGCCCAACTTATTACCGTGTTAGCTCGCGCTTCATCCTCTATGCTACATGTTTATAGGATTTGGCCTCAGGTTTGTGTCTGTTTTTGTTTCTCGAATAAATCTCCTTCAGTTGGGTCTTCGGGCGAGTTGTGAATGAGCCGGCTAGGCGGCAGAACCGTCATAGTGGCATGCATGTGGTGACGAGCGGGTTGGGTCGGACCACGGTTGGACCACAGAAATCCATTCTATTTCGCTTATGATCTTTCTTCCACGAAACTGAGACTTTGTTCGTTGTGAAAACAGTGTCGGTAGTAAGCAAAATAATTTACGTGGTAGTGTGATCTAGAGTGAAACAAAGGCCAAAGGGTTTCAGAAACAGGTCTTTAAGGCCACCGTTCGTTGTCTTTCAACGGGTTGAGAAAGACTCTAAAGATTTCCGATCAAAATACTTACCGGAAATGAAACGGCTGGGCAAACAATATCAGCCAATAACACTTGAAAGTATTTGGGAAAGAATCGGCTGAATTGTCATTTGTTGTTGCAGTTGGGTCACTGTTTTGCTACATATGCAGATATGATCAACAACTGATGGATTGTGCATAAGTAGCCTTTCTTATGATTGCTGACAATGATCAAAACAAACATAATAAGTGGTTTTATGGAAACCGTAGTGCGGGCAGCTGAGGGCGTGTAGGATCTCGCTGTATGTTGCGCTTTGAGACACCCCAAACATTACAACCAGTGGCAACTTGTGACCCTAATGTCAAAGGAACATTAGTCTTAAGTAAAAGACTGAGGACATCGTGGTGTACCTTGGCCACTCTTACGATCATGGGCGGAAACTCGGGGGGGCAGGGGACACGCCCCCCCATGAATTTGGTATGGGGAGACACAATGTCAAATGTCCCCTCCATGTTTTAAGTTAAACAAACTACTAAAAGAATTGATGGATCGAGAATTTTCCCGTTTGAGTTTTTTTTATAAATGGAATAAGATAATAAGCACGCGTTGTGCACAAAAAGTGTAAATTGATGCCCCCCCCGATCGAGGAGAGATTTCCGCCCTTGCTTACGATTGATATTGCCAGTATCGCAGAGCACTGTCGATTGTCTGAATCATTGCCTGCTATGCTGATCTGTCGATTTGCTTTACGATGCTTGTTATAACGGGACGGCACAGAATCCGAGGTTCACGGTCAATGGAGTGGGAACATGCCCCCTCCCCCCCATGGGTAAATGTCCCTGGGGGTCACTTGTGGGCTGCACTTCTGCCCAGCCCTCTTGTTCCACAAAGGTACTGTGTTTCATCAACCTCGTTGACATGATGACAAGGCTTAGAGAGCTCTGTGCTATATGAAGTGAATGTCGTAGTCCTCTACATAGTCTACTGCGATCGACACGAAGTCAATTGCACGGGCCAGTGTTGCATGTGGGTTATAGTGAATAAAACTCGCCAGGACAAAGTACAATGGAAATACCCCGTTTACGGTAGTCCGTATTTATTCAAGAATACCCCAGCGGCTTGCCTGTTTCCAGTGCTGGGGCCGGCCATCTTGTCTACACTTCACCTATCATATATCCTCTCAATCGTATTTTGAAACAAACATTCTTGGTGCACCTTCAAATAAAATTGGGAAATCGTGTCAAATAACATTTTATTCATTTTTTTAAATGGTCCCTAAATTTAAAGGGATCGGGGTTCTATGTGATACGATAAAGAAATTTCATTATAATCGTTACCACTGTGCTCTGGGCCTTCGGGTTGGTGCTCTATCAGATTAGATCAATCCATGGAATATTCCAAGTATGAAAAGATAAGTATTTTTCAGTTCCCGCCATAGAAACCAAAACAAGAAACTCAACTATTTACATCATCAATTTTTATCCAAAAGTTCACTCTAATTCCGAGAGATTTTAACCAGTAAACTTAATGTGTAATGTAAATGTTGGGTTAACATCAATGCCCTCAGACTAGTTCCTGTTCCTGTTATTTACCCTTTACAGAAGGTGCCAAAATATTAAGTAAGAGTGACAAATTACAATTGTTAAACTTCAGACAGAAAAAGAACATCGCCTATTCACTTGGGATTTATTGGCATTTATATTAAAAGGGCGCCAGTTAGGAAAGCCTCTTCTCGATTTCATGCCCAATTTCCGGACATGAGCTTTTTGACTCTCGGGTTGAATCTGGACATGAACCTTCACCTGGTTTTGCACTGCTGTTGTGTGGTAAAAGCACAGAATATTCCAAAGAATGGATTTCCAGTTCATAGTCGATTAATGTGCTTAACAGCACTTACCAAGTCTGGAAAAAGTCTAGCTATGCTAACTTAGGAGGGTGTCACAATAGGCCCACTCATAATCGTCAAATTGGAAAAGTAAGCGACCGAGAAGATCCCTCAAAATCTCTATCTTCAATCAAGCACACTCCGTTCTGGACTGAGCGTTCCTATCCTGCAAAAATGGTCTTTTGAATGGTAGATAATTCTAATAGCTAAGTCGTCCTAATCGCATCAGTCCGTATAAGCTTTTAACAGTGGGAAATAAATTCTTGGCCCTTTAATGAGTCCATGTTGGTCAGCGAAACGTGATTATTATGTAGCGGGGTATTTATTACATAGACTAAAGCTGTAGTATATGGTGTTATAATTGGGAGCGCTAAGTGTTACGGTGTGTGTCGTCACTAGCCTTCGATGTTTTGAGCACTAGGCAAGACCATCAGGACTGTGGCAAGGTTTTTGAACTCCCACTCATGCGTCTTCCCTGAATATTATCTATGATAGCTTGTTTCGACTGTGTAGGCAGTCCCCAAGAATTCAACGGCTGAGATTTCGCACTCTATTATAGTGTCATTAGACTAGACACGGAGTGATTCGTTCGCAATGCAAAAGAGCATTTAAGCGCTCCATGCAAAAACTCCAATCAGCAGGCCTCTTTGTCGTTGGGTGTCTCCTTTTCGTTGTTTGTCAAGGACCTCCAGGCCGGTCATTTGTCAAGGTCTCACCAGGCTCATCACCGGCAGGCAGTGGGGTAGATCGGCATGCCGTGCCCCCACGAGACCTCCGCGGGCCTGCTGCATCATCACAACGAAACTTCGTTATCTCCACCTTGACGCGTCGGGCTTATTACGAGCAGCTCCAAGAATTTTTTCCCAATTCCTCCTCGTTAATCACAAGCAGGTTTCAAAAATGAAGAAGGGAGAAAAACCTCCTGTCGCAAGAATGGAGATAATTATTATTCCCGGGTATCAAAATAAGAAAATATCAGATTTCATAGTAAAGTTCAACTACTAACCAGTCCCCCCCCCCACTCTATTTCAACTGGACTTAAATTTTTAATCACCTTTTCCGTGCCTTCTGCGTTGTAGGCAATATGCCGGAGTTGGATGGCCTTGCCGATCTCGGATCATTGTCTGTCGGTAATTACCCGGCCTGGGCCACTGCTGTCTGCCGTGCCCCCGCTGATCAGATTTCCCGTAATGGTTTCACCACGTTTTCCAGACCACTTTCTTAAATACGAGACGGCTCGTGTGACCTGAACCATGGCCGAACCGCTCGGGTTCCGCAGCTGTCTCGGATCGGTGTGGGGGGGGCTAGCTTTCCAGCTTCGAGTCTAGCCGGACATTGTCCATCTTCACGGGATCCTTGGTGCGTGAGAAATAAAACAAAGACTCGGAGACCATTCTAAGAAAGGGGTAGAATTAAAACGGACAGAAAAGTGTATCATCAATAATATCACTCCACAGATCAATAATCTGAAACAACCTCATGTAACGAGAGAAAAATAATAGTAACAGTGTTCACCAGAAGATGTTTACATGTTTCTGTTTTCCCCGGTCTCATTATCAGTGCTACGTAGTCTTATTTTTTTCTTATGAAAACCTTGTGTACATGATATTCATCGCAAATTTGTGTATAAAGTTGTTCCCTATTATTTTTGTATTACTATGAACAAAACCCGAGAAGAGACTCTAATATCAGACGTTGTTGGCAGTTTGCTCTTTAAATAATTGCAATGTTGAATTTGCAGTTAGCTTTCCTTTCTGTGACTGCTGGGACACACGACAAAGGAAGTGAAATGATTCGACATCGAATTCAGCAATCCTTTCTGCATTTTGCATAAACAGGTGCAAACTTCTGTGCCATATATAGTAACAACCCCCATACTATTACTGACTCGTTAGTTTAAATACGCAATGTGAACACAATGTGACCGTTCAGCTTAGATAACCTCATTCGTTGAAATATTCTCACATCTTTTGTGACTCATTCATTTGGAAATCTTTTGAAGTAAGAACATACATCGCTCATTAATTCTGCTGTAAATACGTTTTCCATTCCGTTGACGGGGCCTGATTAAGGGGAATGAATGATCATGCTCAGTTCCTTTTTGGCTGATTTTGAAGAACTCCCACTCGTCAGCAGGTCGCGCAGCATGGTGAAAACCTGCCACGTGAGGGCGCGACCAAACTTTACGTTGGGTCGTTCCAGCACAGTTTGGTGTTTGACGAGAAGCATATTGCAATGTAGGAGGGAATCTGCCAGAGAGGTTTTACTGTACGACTAAAAATAACAGGACTTCAAAATTGAAGAATGGTTCGAACCATCTGTCAATCTTTCGTCAACCTTTTACAATGGAATATGGCTTCCGGTCTTTTTATTTGAATCTGTTTCAACGTAAATTAACATGCTTAGGCCCCCAAAAAATAAGTCTCCGGTTTCTGGTCAGTAGTTGGATCCTGGTGTGGCGACGCGGCTTTTTTTTACCCTCACCTTTTTCTGGAAATGATGTAGGGCCTAGGTATAACCATAGAGCAATAACAGGCGGTCTCCTTCGCGACTGCATGCACACGTTACGCTGGCCGCTGCCAACACATAAAAAGACTGGGCCCGTACTTTCTAACTGTTTAAAAGCATTTAAGCTTGTAAATGTACATAGGACATAAGACCACCTCGTTTGTCTGGTTCCCAGATGAAAGTGTATTGTACAGAAATGACATCATCTGGCAAAGAGTGTCCGACTAAATGTATGGAGAACTGAAGGGACTCCTTCACTGGACATATTTCTCACCCGTATACCCTATCAAAAACGCGTTAAAATTATGCAGTGGCAGGATTCTGCGCGTGCTGACCAGAAACCGGAGACTTTTTTATTTCGGCTTTAGCTTCAGATACTTTGAAGCCCGCGCAAAATGTAGGATAGAGGTTGACCAACAAACGACATCGTTTCATCCACACCAAATTCAGCTTCTCAAATCTGGTCACTGCTGGAGGGAGCAGCATTTATAACTCAACAATATTCATCTATTCCTTTTTATTAGTTATGAGAGGGATATGTACGTTCTCAAGTTTTTCTGCTTAGCGTAGTTCAAACAGTGAGCCCCGAATTTATCAGTAAATTTGATTTAGCAACGGTCTCCTTAATTTACACAGCTACAAGTTTTAAGAGCATTTTTTCAGTTTAGTCACCCATTTACGGGTAAAATAAAATCATTTTAGACATTTAAAGCTTTTTTCTATGCTATATTGACAAAACACACATTTGTGTCTCTTCGTGAAAACGAGATTGTTCGATAATGCACGGGTGTACAATATGCGCGCGCACACATTAGTGAGTGTAGAGACTTTTGGCTAATGGGTGTCCGGGTGACCCACAACCGTGTGCCAAAGTTAAGAGAGAATCATGTCCCGTTGATTCTATCACGGTTTCCACTAATACCCTCGTGCCCAAAGAGGGCCGGCATTCACGGGTTCTATTATGTCGGTCCCAAAACCCAACTTATAACTCTTTCAATTTGTCACGGTTACTGAACATCAGTCCCGAAAAAAGACCATCAAGTCTGTGCATTTTTATATTTACCATTTCCGGATTTTATTTAGAAGCCTGCATGCAGTCATGTTCTTCTCTGTTTCCGTCACCACATATGAACACAACGTCTGCCCCTACCTCTCATGAAGGAAAGGTGTTATTCACGTGGCTGGTTTTGTCATCCGAGATGATCGAGGCCTGTACAAAAACCAGCATGCAGGACTCCCAACTCCGCCTAACTAGGAGCCGGGCAATCAGAGCGAGGGAAGGTGTTAAACATCCTGCAGTCCACTGTACATCCGCGACAGTTCCGGCCTGTCAGCAATTAATCAAGCCCCTTGAAATCAGAGGAATTGTACCCAATTAGCCCTTTTTATGCTCATCACTGCGGCCGAGGTAAAACACCGGTGCCGATCAAGTAATTAGCAAAAATTCAACAAGCGAGTGACACTCTGGGCTCTGAAGGGGAAAAAAAGTGGACGACTTCTTCCCGTGCGGATGGAGCGAAGCCGCACCACAGCACTGACACCTCTGGAGATGAACTTTATATCTCCCGGACTTTTTTCTTTCTCACTCTGAATCTTCCACTTGAATAAAAGTATGACAAATCATAAAACATCACAGGTATTAACAGAGAGGATTGCGTGGGAAGGACAGACAACAGCGAATACGGAGACAGCATGCATGACACAGCAAAAGACAATGAAAGCATTGGCTTGTTTGGACCATGTTTGGACGGAAGAGGGTTTCGACCACATGCTGTTCCACCTAGTCATCATATCATGGGAATACTTTCACAGTTATTTTGGATACAATTCAAATTTTACTACACATTTCAAAATGACCTGCGCTTATGCAATCTACAGGGGCAGAATAAACTTAAAGAAAACGCAGCAATGGGAAAACACCTAAAATATTATGGCTTGGGTTTTTTTGTCCAAAAAAAAAACACCAGTTGTAGGTATAAAAAAAGGTGGTGGCCCAAATGGTGCGCCAGAATGCGTACATGGCCGAAAGCATTCGAGTCGTACAGTTAACTTGAGCAGTTCTTTGGCGGGACGTTTTATAAATTTTACAGTTCTCGTCGGTTCTAAAACCAGGGTTTGTTGTCGAACGTCAACAACCCTGATTGGATTAGAAGTTTGCGCACAATATATACAACAAGTGGGAGTACTTATTTATTTATTTATTTGAAGTGTTCTCGACTGTTAGTCACAAGAATATGAGAAACGTTTCATCCCCACGGTGTTTATTCGTAATACAATTCACGTCTTCTTCTCCCAGTTGACCTGCGTTTGTGACCGCCTGAATGATAATTGTTCAAGTGGTGCGAGCCACTTCACTTGAGCGGTCACAGAGCGGCTATTGTAGCGAGGGCAAGAGAATGCAGTGGGGCCATGGGAGCGAGTCTCCCCGGTTGAGCTTAGCCAAGGTCTGTGGGCGCTCATTCCGTCGAGTTGCACCGCTCGGGGGAAGGTTGACGCCTGAGTTGTTCTACCGCTAAGTTGAGCGTTCTGTCGGTACTGTTTGAGACCAGGAGACCGACAGACAGATTCTTGGAGAGTTAAAATAAACACTCCCAGGGCGATCTAAACGAATTCACGATGACACCACTTGGAGCCAATTTGAGTTGCTTCTCGCGTTCACATGAGTTACAGCATTCGTGCAAATACCCTGACTTAATTTGGGGTCCATAATATTCAATTAAAGAGTTTCCTTTGTCAGAATATCAAATATGTTAGTTTTTTAAGAGGTTTAACTGGAAGTGCCCCTCCATTCAATTACTTTTAACAGAAACATAAGATGCCCGCTCTGTTGCATGATTTTGCACACTAGAATTTAATAACAGAGTTTCAATATTCCACCCAAAACCAAAATACTTCATTTGATGTTAACTTTCCACTAATGAAGAATTATTTAGTCCCAAGAGAGGACAACGAGCCGTGTTCAGTTTTCGTTTCAGTGAACACACAACAGTACATGATTACGATAAGCTACATATCCTCTGGATGCAAAAGTAGTCCAAGTTCCAATGCAATATATTTGCGTGATCAGTAGGAACAGGAAGAGACCGGGCCTTTTGAATCGAACTTTGGGTCAACTTTATTGTGGCATGTACGGTATCCTTCTCCACTCGTTTCACGTAAGGCGTAACTTGCATTCCAAACCCCATGGTGCACAAGCTCCAGCAAGCCGGCGTGAGGGTTTGGATGGTCCCCTGACCTCCACGCGGCTTTTCGTCGTATTGCGATAAATTTAGGAATTCGGGTTCCAACTCGGCACCGTCAACTCGATCGCTCCCCGTGCGTTTGTATGTCGTGAACGTCCGTCTCGGACTCAAGGCATATAATTATAATTACGCCTAAATACATCTGACGTGGAATTACATGTTAATTAACCCTGTCCGACAATTATTTGACATCTCCTTATAAATAAACTTGGACTGAAGTATTAAAGCAGCCCGAGTGTTTAACAACTGTAGATTTGGCCACTCAGTTTCGACTGGGAAATCCCAAGCACCGCCCGGCCACCTCGGCTCGCACCCTCCTCTAAGCATGGAGGAAGGTGTTTATCCCCTGCGGAAAATTGAATCTCTCACTCCGACAATATTTGAACTCGGCCGTGAGATGAACAATAACGCACCTCACCCTTCCCTCTTCCCTTCATCTCATTAATTAACACCCCGCGACAAAGCCCCAGCGACAACAGACCAGGGCCGTGCGCCCCACGCCAAACACTGGACGAGGGGGGTGATTGCGTGACCGAGACAAAACGGGACCCTGTCCCCGAAACATCTGGCTCAAGGCCCTCGCGGCTCAAACCGGGCCGCTTGATCCACACGGCGCATGGCCAGGCACTCGCGTTAGAAACACTTGCAAATTACATCCACTCAATTAGCTTTCGTTTCAGGGGAAAAAGGAAGACCGGGCTAACCACATGCACCTCAATATTTCCCTTAACTTGTTTTTACTATGCTGGCTATGTAGAATACCTTTAAAAAAAAAAGAGCTAGAGGACAACAATTTGACCAAAATGAGATTTTTGTCTGAAGCGAAGATTTCTTGCTGTCTTGCTTGCGGGGGTTATTAGGAATGTTTGCGAATCAAGATTAACTCGGCGATTTGAGTCCATTTCCGCCCAGAGGCCTTTTCAGCACAGAAGGACGACCGGGCGGTGTTTTCCAATAATACTTATCTCCGGCAAAATTAGACCATGTCCTGAATGTTCTGAGCTAACAGTGGCATTTTTCCTATTACCAAAGTGCGTTTACGTAAGCATACTCTGCGCCAACTCTCTTTTAACACGCCTATGATGGTAATTGGTGAAATTCAAGAAATCGCTTGTTTGCTTTTGATTTTTTTCGCCCCTTCAATTTAACTTGGGCAGAGTTTCCGCCTCTCTGATCAATTAGTGTTAGATGTCGGCCCTTAGTGCCATGAACTCGCCCATCCTGACTTGTATGACAGGAAACCCGATGTATTCTGACCGATATGCGGTAACAAGATGGAGTAGAACGCTATCTGTTGTGATTTCAAGTTTGGCAGATCGAGTTGGATACCGCTGGACGGTCACCGAAGTAGGCGAGTTCTACCGGGAGTTAGCTCCACGCACGACTCGTACGGGCGGCGTGACACTGTCTCTCGGCCGTCGAGCGGGCGAAAGCCAGCGTCGGCCAATACACGTAGTCCCATGGCGGACTCTGAGCAAATCAGAGTACCTGCGACGTGTAGACCTATCGAAAAAGATCTGGGACCGGATACTTATTTCTGCCATTCTAGTGAGATACACGGTTGTCATTTTTTGCATCTAGAGAGAATACCAAAACACGAAGTGGCAAAACAGATCCGCTTTAGTTTGCATAAAGTAGTGGCAGATCCAACACTGAAAAAGTGGACAGGTTTGTTGTTGTTGTGCAAGTCAAAAACTACACGGCCGTTATATTTTGGGTATTTTCAACTTGGGAGCTGCGTTGATAAAACAAGAAGCCAGAAAGGCCCAAATTATCTGGCACCCAGACTGCTCAGAATAAACGACAACCAGAAAAGGTCTCTAGTCATGAGAATATATCATGACCTTTCCTTTCATGCACTGGAGTGCTAGTGCGCGGTCAATGGTGCATTGTCAAGTCACGAATAAAAAGCTTAAATTGGTTTTTAAAAAGTCTAACAAGAGGCTTGACGAGTTCCGTCTGCCACACAGCAAAATAAATTCGAAAACCACAGCAAACGTCATATACTATACCTACCGTTGACACCCGTGTGCTTCGGAAGATTCCTATTGTAGTGGATTTTTCTCCTCGGCTGTTGATGTATCTCCACAGTGTTTCATGTTTCTTTTTATCTGGCACTGTGTCTTTGCAACGCCTAGAGGGGAAGAAAATGCAAAGTCGACCCTTCAGACGGTATGCAGAGAGGTCTTACCAGCAAAACGATTGCACGAAAAAAAGCATACAAACTCGAGCGCACAACTGGACAATGTAACTGGCAGTTCAACAAAGTACTGTGCACGGAGACTTCAACAATCGGAACATTTACGACCTTTGTGCATTTTATGTGATGGTGTGTGACCTCTGCGTCTCGGCAACTTGTAAGGGTTTTGTCTGGGCCATGGTCTGGGTCAGTGTTTGACAGTGAAGCCGGACACTGTTGAGCTAATATTAACCATGTGATGATTTCTAAAAGCAACGAGAGACGGTGTGACTTTGGGGCGCCATATTTGAATAAAAATCCGAACATTTCTTTTGTATTATCGACGCATGGTGAGTTTTCCAGGTTGCTGCCCACTTACCATTTGCTCGTATTTTTTCTGCATATGCGGACAGATCATTTAATTCGACCGATGGCAAACGTCTGTGTAGTGTAGTGTTTACCGTGCCAGGACAGCGGACTCGCAATGTGCCAGCATGCGCTCAGTGTGTGGTAGAACAGGAGCGGCCGTGCAATGCAGCAAGACCGCGTAACCGGAACAATAAACGCTTGTCATTATATAAATCATTTTAAACTTCGAATCATAGGTCCTTCCAAAGAAAAGATACAACATGCCATTATTTTCGGTTATTTTTGGGTTCAAATCATACCCCTGAAATAATAACAGCACGCATACACGAGCAAAAATGAGCGATTTCTCTTTGACATCAACAGAAGGTTGAAGGTTGGATTGCATCACGGACTGTTTGATTACATCCCGTTGCTGAGGAGATTATGGATTTGTGTGTTTGTTTTTTTCACCCAAACTAGGTCAAGGAAATTGCCTTATTCATTTAGAGTCGGCCTAATCACAAAAGGAAACGTTGACTGTATATTGTGTTCCGTTTTTCCACAATTCGGGAAAAGGGTAGGCTTATGACTGTTTTAAGTATAAATTAATTTAGAGCAGCAGTTTTCGAAATCTTCCTAAATTTAGGAGGAGTCTTTAGAAATCTTTTAGACAGTGTTTACTAATTCAGAAGAAAGTGCTTTCTTTGTAAAATGTTCTCCTTTCTTCAAATCGTGTGCGGTAACTATTTATTTTTAGAGAAAATTCCCCTAATAAGGCGTAAAAAAGCCAATAGACTCCTTTTATTTTTGTGAAATGTGGAGTCATTCTGGCTTTTCAATGTTCAGTTTTTTGCTCTCTGCTGTACAAACAGACTCCAATGTCTCGCCAATAGTTTGATAAAGTTGCTATAGAATCACCCTGCACGTTTCCCCCAGACATGTGGGAAAACCCAACCTTGAGTTTCTTGAGGAACCTAACAAGTTGAATGCAAGCACAGTCAACATCAAAACCCCAAATAAGTGCTATGGAAAAGCAGCACTTAAAGGGTAGCCGCAATGAATTTTTCTTGGACACAATTTTTTCTGCAACTTTATACTTTTCTTCAGGGTATGACCCTCTGCACTTCTATTTGGTTAAATGCACTGAAAAGTGCGCTTTTTAAAACATTTAAAATTATCTATAATTTCGTTGACAGCTGAGGGCGCTGTTGCTGTGATGTTATCCAGGGAAGACATAGTTCATTGCATGGGTTTTTCTATTCAAAGTGTGAACCCAGAATTTACTTACAGAAAACATTTCTGAGAAAGACATTGGTGCGGAGGTATTGCTATGCACATAAAAAGCAATAAATCAGCAAAGAAGGAAAAATTTGTCGAGTAAATTTACAAAATGCATGACTTTTTTGTGTACAAACCAATGTAACATTTAGGCTCTCTACGTGGGATGACATCACAGTTTTACTCATTAATATGGAAATACCATTAGCATAAAACCAAAGAGGCAGCAAAATACGCTTTCTGAAACAAAGTTGACAATAAGCTTGAGACAAAAAGGTGCATTTTGAAGGCTTGTATTAAAACAGATTGATTGCAGCTACCCTTTAATGGCAAGCTGGCAAATGGACTGTGCCTTTTATCGTGACTGCATTCATTTCTGAATTTGTAGAGTTTCGAGACACGTTCTATCTTTTTAATATCTCTACAGGCCTTTGAAATTGCAAGGACGTGACGAATCTCCACTAATCAATCATCATCGAAATATCGAGTTCAAGCTATCGTTAATTTTTGGACATGAGTCGTTAAACATGCAATAAGACATCCAGTGGGAACGCCTCCACAAGCATTATTGCCAGTGCCAATCCGGTCCTTTGAAGCATGAGTCTTATCACAGCATGAAGTCACAATGGACACTACGATGTCCTCTAATTGCCTGAGGTCAAAATGTAAACGCTATAGTACAGTATGGCCACTCTCTCCATACGTTTTACACATTTATCTGCACACCGGGGAGTGCGCATGTGTCGATGCAGCACACATTGATACATGTTCATGGAGGTAGGAAAAGGGTGTGTGTATGTGCTATGCAAAAACACTGGTGCACCCATCTCAAAAAGTCTTTTTCGTGCATAACGACAGATCACTTTTTGCATTCTTTAAAGTAACTATAATTCAATACGAAACTGCATAGTAAATTCTGCTTGTTTTTTTTTTTGTGTGTCCGGTCCTTATTACTTTGTGTTTTCATCACAGCAGGAAGGGCGAAAGTATGTAGGCCCTAATTTTTTTTTTTCACTTTTTAGGAGCATTTCATTCAACCTGCCAATTTTGAGGCAACTCCGAAGTGGAAGCCCATGTATTTGAAACCATCTTGAATGATTAACAGGACAAAATTAAAGACCTTCTCCTTCCTCTTTCTAACAAACCAGTTCATTTTTATCCTTATTTTCACAAGTCTGTAGGGTCATCACTTGTGAAGGTCTAAATGCTAGACAATAAGGCATGCTTAATAGCGAACGCTGAAATATATTCAATGTATGTACTGTCACTTCACGATAAAACATCACTCTTGCAATACATTGGTATAACTTAACCTACATGTTCCGCAAAAAAAAATCGGAATTGGAAAGCAGATTACATGCACAATCTTTTTATTTAAAAAAAAACAACGGAATGCACTGGTAAGTTTTAAATTACCTAATTTCAGCGAGATTTTTCCCTCTCGTTTAAGCTGTGTCATGCGGTTATAACAAACCCTGAATATTCCATGCGGCCACCAACGCGGAACACACTAACAGCCAGGGTGTTAAGCCGAAATTACCACCGGCTCTCCCTCGCCTCATCCCCGCCGCACAAAAGCGGGTTATGGTGACATCTATTTACACTGTCCGTGCTGTTGTGATATCGATTGTGATATTTTTCATGCAATATCTACCCCCAACCGAAACCTTTTCATATCAATATAATGTAGGGCCCCATCCGTTCGAGTCTCTCCTCGGCAAATGGCAGCCAAAGTAAACGCGGGGGCTTTGGCGAAACTGGGCCGAGGGGCCGCCAATGTTTATACGTGCCCTAGATTCGCCAGCGTTACTCAAACACGAGATGCAACGCCGCTGTCACGTCCGCTCGATTCCCCCCTCTGCTTGGGACGTGGGGGCAGAGACACAAGGCGATACATGGGGCACACAACCGACGAGAGGAAGGGCCCATTGCGCCGTGGACGAAAGGAAATGGAAAGAAAATGACCAGTAATGATCCCTATCGGGGCAGGTGCCTCCCGCGTTCGACCAGAGAAATTCCAGGTAATTCCGTTCGGTTATGAAAAAAGTGCGGATTTTTGAAAAGTCTGTCCTTACCACGACTGTTGCAGTTTAAAAATTGTGAGTTCGTTCCCGATTCTGCACCACAGTCGTCTCGGTATGAAACTAAAATAAACACGTTCACCCTTTCTTTCAATAAAACACTCAGTGCTTGACAGAGCAGGCTATTTCAGGCGCGGTGGGACTTTTTCGGTAATGGAATTTATGGGGAAAAATTATGTTGCTCACGGTGAACGATTTCATTCTGTTTTTAATGCGCGAATACAATATCTCAATGTCTTTGCCAGAAAAAAAAATGAATGCTTCCCAAGAGAATGTTTGTCTTTGGGGACACGCATCGATAGAACGCTTGTGGTTTGACGTGAAGGGACAAGGTGGAGAGCACGAAACAATGTTTGATCAGCAAACACAACTATGGGCAGTTCACTTGTCGTTTGCCACATTTTTTTCCGAGGAACGAAATCAGGTCAAGATGAATTCCAGTTAAAGTGAGGGTATTGGCAATACTGAAGGAAGGTACAGGTCGGTAACTCTTCGGCGAGTTCAACCCCCAAATGCCGTAAAATGTCAAAACTACATTCTTTGTTACAGCACAAGTAACAATATGAAGCTTTCAGAGGGGACTTTTGAAAAGAATTTGTTTCAAAAGTAAAGCAAACCATAGAGTTAGGCAAACCATCTAGCAAAAGAAGCAAGGCGAACCGTGAAAAGTGTTTGTAGCCTGTGGGTGGCCCTTCATGACGGGGCTGGATTAAGCTAAACTGCAGATGAATGGTAATTAATTAAGCGTGATATTATGGTTAGTGAGGCTGAATCTTAACCGTTGTCAGCCCGCCGTTGGCCCTCGGGGTTTCTCGCACGCCCAACCAGGACTAGTCGGTCGACCGTGTTGCGAGGGACCCATGAACGGTCGCCGCGACGGAGTCCGGTGCGGCAAGCTCGTGGTACAGCGTGGAAGGATTCCACGGAGACCGTACCCGTACGGTGCTCCCCGGCTCTCCCTACCCTTGTTTTCATTGAGGCCGGCGGAATCTCTCACGGGCTGCACCGTGGTATGCAACCACTCCCCCGCTGCCCCATCTCGCTTACAACATCCTCGCCCCTCAATCGTCCACGGTCTACTTTTTCCTCGGCGGAGAGCAAACACTGTCATTATTGGCCCAGGTAAAGATGGAGGGGCCCTGGCCACTTAGCCCCGGTGTTCACTCCCCTTGATTGGACAACAAAAGAACCGTAAATACAGCGAGGACCCTTCAGTCAACCGACGGTTATCTCGTTGCATTAGCGAGACGTCGTGCGCCAACCCAAAACCCACGGAAGTGCAATCGTAGTTTCCACTTGCTCGGGATCACGAGGCTGGAGTTTCCCAATGAGCAAATTAAGGACAGGAAAATCAGACCGCAATCATTAGCACAAAAAACAAAGAAGTTTCTTCAACTTGTCTATTCAACCTCATCACGCCACACCCCCCCTCCCCATCTTAAAAAGTGCGAGGGAGCACCAAGGGATGCAAAATTGCTCATTTCTCAGAGAAAGATAACAGATACATTAGGAATCAATAAACAATGCAGGGAGCTGCGAAGTGCACGAGACACAAGTCATATTGTAAACAGTGTGGTCTATAGCCGTCAATTACACGCGTAAATCACTCCCCGACGCGATGGATTGTCGCAGTAAAAATCCTTCCTTAGGAGTAAACAGTTTGATTGTATAAATCGAGCTAATAATCGGGGATCTCTTTGGTCCTTTGGTGGTGGATCGCTTCCTTATACGAACAACGAGGGGGAGAGGAAGGGACCATTACGCAGTTGATAACCGCTGACCTTTGACATGTCTAGTTTATAAAGATTGAATTATGACGGGAATGCGCGCCATTTTCTACCCCACGGAGCTTCGAATAATAGGGAACCAATGGGACACCTTCAACACACCGGTGGATGTGCGTGTCTACTACCATTTTAGGCAGCCATGTTGTTGTTTTGCTATGCCTCGTTGGTGTGGCGCGTTTCGGAGATTGTGTGTGTGTGTGTGTGTGGAATGCCGTGGAGGGGTTGCAGAGAAAAATGCTTCTAAGCAGCAACATACGAATAGTTTTGGGGATCTCATTTGGGACAAATATCCAGCCCTTTCCAACCCTAACCTGTCCCAGACAGAGG